AAAGCAGAATGATGAAAAAAATAAAATCAGATAAAAACACCACTCCCCGATACCTTTAAAAGTAAAGCCAGGAAAGCAGTGGATTGTTCTCAACATTGCAAAACGTTGAGGATAATTTCACAAGATGTGGCTTTAAGGAATTAACTATCATATGATCATTGGAAGAATTCAAGTGGTATAAAATTAATTTATAAAAGGTATCAATAAATGTATGATATTTACTCCTGAAAGTTTCTGTAACAACGTTTTGGCAACACAGCATAGTTAATATACAAAATACTGCTGTGTACAAACCTAGCAGATGACACTATAGGATAGCAATAGATAAATATGACCCAAGAGCACAAATAATAAATACGCCCAAGTTCTGCTTTGGTTTCGCTACAGTGTTAGGATTGGCAACTCTCACATTTTATCAGTTACCAGATTTTAATGTGAGGAAGGAAGCAGTTCCATTATCTAAATATACCCAATTGTTCGCGAACAGATGATGGGCAATTTGATCTGCTCTGTCTAATTCATCAGCACAGATAAGATAAGAAAGAAAAGGCATCCAGATATCACCAAGGGGTTAATATTTAAAAAGATTACATGCCAGTTATTTTAGCAAAGAAATACTGTAGTCTGTCTTTTTACCTTACAAAAAAGGAACTTCCTTCAGATAGAAACTGTCAACTTCACCATCTTTTTAAAAAATAGGCCCTGTTGTAAATAGGTTTATTTGCCCGTTGCATACATGTTTGAAGTGTCTTCATTCTGCATATGATTTTAGTCTTCCTGTAACTCGTAAATTCAGAGATGCATTTTTTCCAGGTTTAAAAGCTATCAGCTCTGCGTCGCTCCTATGTTATTTAAAATACATTTAGATGATCTGCTTTGTTAGGATCACAGCACATACTGCAGGAAGTTGTGCTTTACCAGGAGAGGTCCTTACAAACCCTAGCGACTCCAGACCGTTTTATATTTTTCATTTTAATTTATGGGATACACTTAACTAGAAGTTTTTTGTCCTTGTACCTTTGGATCATTAACGTTAAAAAAAAATCACACTTCTTCTGCCTGTCTCTATAACTGCAAAACTAACCAAATAATCAAACAGCATAAATGGCGTACCTGATATAATCTCTTTTACAGTAGGTTTTGCCATCCCTAACAAAGCACGTACAGGTCTCGTCCAAATACTGATTACACTCTGCACACTTCAAACACGCCGCATGCCATTCCAAATCCGGAGAAACCCTCAGAATATACTGATCGTGAATTTGATTGCCGCAACCAACACATAGGGAAATCAGACGTTTTTCTGAAATGAAAATAAATACATGATTGACTAACCGTTTACTCTCCTACAGAGATAAACACACTTTTAGTGTCGATCTCTTATAAGGCGTTCTCTGGGAGGTTTAGACTTTTTTTTTTTAAAAAAGAGTATTGCACTTTTGGATGGTAATTGAAGTGTGCCATCAAAACCTTGCCTCATTTAGAAAGGAGGCGGACCGTATGTTAAAATGCAGATGTGAACAGCCTTCGGTGTGAAGCTTCTAATTTTGCAAGCCTGGCACGCAACCCAAACTCCCTCGTTTTGCAATTTTTTGTTTCGCTCCAGGGGAACATATGAATATGGTTTTGGCTGGAAGCGTTGGGAGCTGAACGCGTGGATGTTTAAACCCCTCTCCCGTATAACGCAGGGCTCGATATTCTGAACAAGCAGTTGTCACTTTGCTCTCCTTCGCACGCCTAATGCTAATTCGCCTAAGTGGGCTAGGTGCTGTATAGTCAGGCAGAGCCATTGGGAGTCTAAGGCGAAGATAGCTCAGTCTGCAGAGCTGGAGACACCATGACAATCCTGCCTGCGCCCCAACCTTTCAAGGAGCAGGACTCAAGGCTAGGGAAATGCAGGGGTAAGAAGTTAAAACACAGCAAGCATGCAGGCATGGCAACAAAGGCACCTTCTCTACCATTCCAGTGAAGTTCCAATGAGCAGCTCCCTGACTGACACGGTTACAACAGACACATCGATTCCAACAACGGTAAAAAAAAATCCGCCTTACTTTTTGGTGGGTCTCCCATGTCTCCCATATCTGTAAGAGGGTGTATGGTCCACAGTGGAATGGTGGTGTGCGCTTTCGTTTTAAGACCCCAAAGTAGGTTTGAAAGCTGTTGCTAAAAAACAAGAGCAAAGCGTGAGCTAGTGGCAGCAGGGCTGCAGGCGGGGCAGAGGCGCCGGGCGGCACTGCCCTCCCTCGCGCTGCCGAGCAGTCCAGTTTTGCCCGTGTGGTGGGACTGGAAGAGGCGCTGCGGAGCCGGACTCAGCGCTGGTCGGGCACTAGTCTCTTCCTTATCTCTTACTCAAACTTCTCTGCTCCAACTCGGCTGGATCTCCATTGGCCTGACGTAACGCGCGGGGACGTCAAGCCTGTCCCGCGCCCATTGGTGGAAGGGAGCGCAGAGCAGCTGTTCTGATTATCATATTTCAGGCGCTGGAGCCTTCCGACGCTGCTGCTGCGGCTCGGGGATGCAGGGGCAACTTTCCCAGTCCTCGCTTGCGTTCCCCTCTAGACTTGATTCTTGCCACCCGTCTCCTTCCGAGCGCCCCTGGCACCCTGCATTCTACAGTCTTTGCTCTGTCTCTTGCGGACGCTTGTCAGACTCCCCTCCCCCCCGAACTTCTGGGAGAGTGGGGTTCTGTCTATTTACATTTCAGTATTTACAATTCCCTATTTGGAGGAGTCAGCTATTTTCTTCCTGGGTTTCTGTCTTTCTTAGGCAACAGAAATTACCCCCGTTAGATTAGGGGCTAACCCAATTTTGTCACGGGAGAAAAAGAAATACGCGCTGCATTAAGCCACAGATGCAAGGTTTAATTGTTTGTCTTTCCCACTCTCCTTTCCCCTTGAAATTGTGAATTGCCGCTTCTTGGGTTTTATGCTAACACGAAATCGAAGATGCAAATATTTACCTTAAACTGTTCCTCAAAATGTCACCAGTCCATTTTCTTTTCTTTTTCAAATCCTTTTTACGTCTCCTTTATTTTAAATTGACGTTTAGGTCTCTCCAATATCATCGGTTGGACAATAATGGATATGTACGTCGTATAGCAAAGTAAAGTCTAGCTTTCTCTATGGCAAACATTCCAATTTATCTTTAAAACCCCGCAAAACCTAACTCTACCCTCTTTTTACCATAGTTTGTCTGGATTTATAGCAGTGCAAATTCTGGAGGTAACATACGTCTTTAAATGTACCTCTTCTTTGAAAAACGCGGAGAATTTCATTAAGTTACTCAAGGCAATTAAAATATAAGAAATATTGTTTAGCTGGTCCCCTATATATTGTTTATGATTTTTCAGTTACGCACATCGGTACACAGGTGACCCTAAAGCTAAAGTCCTCGAAACTTCAGGGCCACGAAACCTTCCGCAGGCAATTTCAATGGCCCTTTAAGGAGCTGCTGGTTTAATAATTTGACTCTCAATTATTTAAAGCTTTAAAATCTAGTAAAACATATGCCCATTTTTATAGTTTAAGGCACCTATTTATTTGTCTATTTGCAACAACCAGGTTTTGATCATACTATGACCTGACCCTCTTCGTTGTTAAAAACGTGAGGCTGTATATCCCCCTTATACCGTTATTACCCCACTATCCAAAATGAAACAATACCTTACACAATTTTTTTTAGAGTTTGTTTAGAACCTCGCTCTGTCTCGTTCTATATGGGTTCTTATGCCGCTGTCATCCTCTTATTATCTAAGCGCCTTCCAGCTGGAGGCTTCTAAACAGTGTTTATCAGAAATAAATGTGCCCCCCCCCCAACATCCCTTTCTTTTAAAGAAAACTGACAAGGCAAGAATTTGGATAAAAGGAAAAAATACAGTCTAACTAAATATGTATACACACTGAAACTGTGTTGCGATAAAATGCCCAAAAGTTATTAAATGTAAACTTCATGATTATTATGCTATTACAAAGCAAATTATCCTGTAGGAATCCTAACTCCATCTGAAAGATGATTTCATGTGCAATGTGCAGTGTGTATGTACATCTAAGAAAAAGGGAATCGAAGGTTTCAGTAAAAATACTAAAGTTGGCTGTCTTGATATGATTTCAAGATGTCAGAATGAAAATATGTTGTAAATACACACATAGTATATATTTGACATTTAAATGAACATTAGAAGTTGCAACTAGGCGACCATTTAACCTTCTTGAAATTAGCGTGGTTTTATTTATTTATTTATTTATGCTATCATCCCACATTGTGTATTAGCCGTGTAACCCAATAAGTAAAGAGCAAGAATTATTGCTGATGATTGCAATTCCTAATAAATTGCCTGGCTCAAACTTTTGGTAATGGGCACTGCCACATTAACACAACTAAAACACGTATATTGTAAACAACCCGTCTCCCGCCCCATCCCCCCACACACATTGCAGACAAAGATTTCCTAATCACCCACTATGCGATCTTGTAGAAGACTTTCCATAATAAATGAATATTAAATATATGCGTCAAAATTACTGTATAGTCAGTTCAGAGTAGGGGGAGCCATCGCCATTGCTGAATGTTTGAGAGTTTTGTCTGGGACATTTGTGGGGAGATATCATCAGGCCATTGTAGTTAGTGACTATAACAAGAAAAGTATTACATGGACATATCGCAATCAAAATACTAACGCTTTCATGTGGCAACTTTTACAATCAAATTAAATCTTATTCTCCTTTTCAGACCTTTCTCTTTCTTCATCCTTATACCGTTTCTCCCACCACATATGTACAACTAAACCAAACCAAACCAAAGTAACAAACGTACCAAGAAAACCCAATCGCACACTTTAAAATGCGTCTGTTGAAGAATAAATCTCGCAGTGATTAGCAGTTTAGACAATGTTTGTAATTCACGATCGCAGTAGCGACCTCTTGTGTTCAAAAGAGGCATTTATCTACCTAAAGTCACGAGCGCAGGCACATTTTTTTGACCTTTTGTAAATTTCTATGTAGGAACAGAAATAATTCTCATCCTTCTTGAACGTGGCATACTAATGAACCTACTGCGGAAGCAAATGAATGGAAGACCTTGGTGGACCACAAATAAAAATACACGTGTAACTTTAAAAATGAGTCCTGATCTTAATTATAAACATCGATGGGGATTATAAGTGACTTTAATATAGAGGGTCTTTTCTATGTCAGGCCCATGTGTTCTTTTCCCAGAGATGGTCTGCATTCTTCTCCTTTGCGAAAACACGAGGGGGATTACAATCAGGAGTCCATTTCTGAAAGGCTGCCTCTGCTTTGCAAGCGGAACACCATTGTTTACTTGAAAATAACTCAATCTGGTTTTAATTCTATTAGCCCCCTCTTCTTCTTCCCCCTTTTTAAAAATAGTTCGAGCAGAGGTGATTGAATTTTAAGCTTGATCTTGCAAACGATGTGCAATAAGCAAGAAACCTGTCTCCGCCCCACCAAACCACGATTGGGAAGGAAAGGAGGGATTTGCTGATTTGCTTACTGTGTATTCGATTCGCGTTCCTGTGAAGGCAAAGCTCTATATTTAGCCAGCATCAGAATCGGGTTTAAGGGAGTGGAATAATGAGTGGAACTGCCAGTTTCAATGAGTAAGGTATTTAGAGAAAAAGCCTGCCGCAGGATTTCTCTTTTATGATATCAATATACACGTGATTGGGAAGACATAAAACGGGATTTGTACGTATTTTAGACACTTCCGAAAATCTGTTATTTCTCTTTGTTCCTTTTACTTTCCTTTCCTTATTTATTTACTTTTTGGGGAGGGAAGGGGCACCGAGGGGTTGTCTTCTAACTAACAAGTGTATGGCAATACAAACAATCAATAGCTTTCACCACGGTCAGAAGCTCCTTTGAGATTATGTGCCTTTAAAAGAAGCAGTGATTAACCCTTGATATTCCATAAAGAATATTTATCTATTGATGCCTCTAAAGGAACATGTATGTGTTTGATAGCGGTACAACTGCAGAAGATTCATCCATTGCACAAAATAATTGCAGCACTGTGTCAGAAGACAAAGTCACAGTTTTGTTTTTAAAATATATAGCTCCACGAATGTATGGACAGACAGTCATTTTGATTTCAGTAAAGGGCTGCCGTAGTGTAGTTCACTACTGAACTTTGAACATGAACTTGAATTGGGCAGACATTACGTTGCATCCTTATTATTTGTTTAATGAATGAGAATTTCCTTTAAAAATGCTAGAACAATCCTCGGATGTAATCTAGTCTTTCGGTGTAAATTTACGAGACTAAAGTGTGTATTGACATTCTATATTATTCAGGCACTAGAGGTAGCGTGTGAGTCTTCTCTGTAGATTAGGTTCTGGCGGGGTATTTTTGTGTGTTCACTACAACACTACCGTACGATACACACGTGGAGAGTTATCCGACAGGTTATTCAAGCCTTAAGAATTTACAGTGCGGACTAAGGTCAGTTTTCTCTAAACGGTTTGGACGACTCTACAATGGGCGTATTGGATCTGTCAAGCGTATTTGGATTCCTGAAGGTCCGAATTTACTTTAATTGCATCACGGAATCCGGCATATGAATTAGATTTGTGCCAATGAAATCTGCTGAGGAAGGGCTTTTGTAATATTGAAATACAAAACAATGCAGCGAAGAAATCAATCATGAAATTTATTAGATTCTCCGGAGAACAGGGCTTGATTCTCTAGAGGTGTGCGATCTTTAATCTTCCAGCCCCGGCTGCTGCATGTTCCGAAGAAATGTACCATATCAGCACTAAATCTATCAAAATACAAGGAAAACTGTCAGTAGCTTTCTGGAAGCCTACAGCCTTCTCGAGTTAATAATACAATACGCTTTATTAAATCTCCCAACCACTTAAGAAGTAACATCCCTTTCCTACCATATCTGACAGCATTAAATCTATCACTAAACAGGGCAGCTCAAACGCCCCTAAATTTAATCCATGCAAAAGAAAACTCAGAAACAAAAATACATGGAGGAAAGCGACGTTTTGCTTTGGGGACAAAAAGTCAGCAAGCCCTCGTCCAAGAGTGCGCCTTTACAATGATGCGAATGGTTTAGAAGTGAATGTTTTAAAACTAGGTAATTTTTGCCCGTGGAAATGGTTAAATACAAATAATTGGACGGTTAAATATTATGCTTAGCATCCACTGAACGCTATTGGAGAGCCGGGCTATAGCCAAAAATAGGGGCGAGGGATGTAGCTTTGATATTTATTGCTTTAAACTTTCCCCTTTGTTATCTTTCCCTCGACAGGAAGTGTCCGAATAAAGAAAATAAATCGGAGACCTTGTCTAGAAATAACGTGGAAAGAGCGTGTGTGTGAAAATTTAGCCTCGTATTTGCAGTCCTTACTCAGGCAAGATTCCCATTGACTGTAATGGAATTAAGGACCGCGGGATCGGGTCCTTTTTTGTTTTAAAAAGAGAGAGAAAGCGATGGCTATTGTCATCTTCTTCCCTGACACAAAGACAAAGACTCGAACTGATGAACTCTTTTCCTAATAACTAGAACAAATACTTTGAAACCACACCTCTGCTTGTAAAGCAACTGATGTACCGCGATAGGTATGGATAGTCTGTTAAAGAACAGAGGGAAGGGATAAAGCCCGGAAAAGCTGGCTTCATCCATTTTTCCTGAAGGTTGAAAAGTGGAGGGGAGGGTCTGTAAATATGTACAGTTACTTTTGAAACATGCTTCATCATAACAGCCCAACGCGCGTAGCTAAGTGCTCTTTATGAAATGAGCACTTTTCCAAGTACATGAGCCATCTCTCTCTTTCCTTTAAAACAGTGAAAACTCCTGCACTTGAAAATGGCTTTGGGGACAAAAGGTGAATTCTAGGTCCCGACCTGCTGTTGCTGAATAGGGTGACCAAAGAAGTTTGTTTCGAGATCCTTATAGATAATGCACATGCAAAGGCTGAAACAACTTTCAAAACGCAGCCTTGAATCAGCAAAGTAACAAAAGAAAATACACTCCTATCATCTTTACATGTTAAAGGCAAACTCGTGCTAATTTTGCATCCTTATATATTTGGAAAGAATTATCCCTACTTTCCCAGAGGAAAACATGATGCTAGGTCTTAGGAAAACAGGCTTTAAGAAGCCCTGCCATGATAGCAGCATATAGCAATTACTGAAACTTGGAACATTGGTGTATACTGTGTCCTCTGTGGTGTGGAATAAGTCATTGCACTCCTGTGTATGGGAGAAAGGAAGGGAGGGAGTTGGTTTGCTTTAGGGAGACTGCAGAGAAAATGAGGAATGAAGTTGATAGGAAAATGTCTTAGTTCTTAGACAATGAGCCATAACTTACAGGGGTGGAAATTTAAAAGCTAAACTTATTACCTTATTAGTACTTATCATTTCCACATCCCACATAACAGAATTTTTGATGGAAATGAGAGATAGTTTCTGATTTTATCAAAGTGTAGAGTATATTTTTAAAGTGTATAAACTCTCTGATTCATATCTATGCCAGTTGCATCACAAAAAGCTTCTTTAGTTAAATAAATGATGCTTTTACTTTAAGCAATTAGACACCAAGGGGTTTTTTTTTAGCTTCCAAAATCTTTGTTATATCATCTCTATTGAAAGCAGCACTCCATTTTGCTTTCAAAATGATTATTCCCCTACTCAATGCATTAGTTGTCTTCCCTTAATACATTTTTTAAAGGTAGGGAAACAAAAAGGCAGGCGGACTATTATAAATCAAGGAATATATCTGTATATAAAACTAGAAAACAGTCTGATAATTGGTTATGGTATATACCATGTCTACTATTGTGTGGAATAAGTCATTTAACTTGATTGACAGGTGTTGATCTGTTATACTGTCTTAAACTTTCTATAGCATATATCATTGGGATTTGGTCCTTATATAGGTATATTTTATTGCATAAAAATAAAATTAGAGTCTCTCTTGCCTTCTAATTCTTATTGAATTATACAATTTACCCATTTCAATCAAACATACATTTATTTACACACGGTTTAGACAGGTTAAATTAATTAGTTGAGTTCATGCAATAAAAATATGTATAAAAATAATAAAATGTTGCCCCTTTGAATTGGCTAGTGTTGATTTACAGCTTGGAAACATAAATCTTGCAAAATCAGTGACCAAATAAGTGTTAGTGAGAATCTTAAGGGAGGTGAGGTCTTGACTTGGAACAGTTAGCGCTTGTTTGTGCCTAACCTACACAAATATTGTACATACAAGGTGTGTTTGTGTGTGTGTCTATATATAGACACACACCAGCATTACATAAGTGTATTCTAGCAAAAAGACAAAATTACCTAATGCCAGCATTTCAAGCTTAAACTGTACATATGGAAAATACAAACTTGCTAGGGTATCTAAACACAAACTAAAGAAGTACAGAAGAATCTTGAGAGTAAGAATTGCAATCATATTACCTTTGTGAACTAGAGGCTAATCATGCAACCCTCTCTGATTAATGAAAATAAAAAGTGTAGTTTTATGTACTGTCCACTGTTTTGTAGTATCTGTTTAGACCAGCGGCAAATACAGGCCTTCAATAAATCATAAATCATACATTAGGAACGGACATGCATAACATACTTACGGCTTAGCATTTCTCCTCAATAGTGGGACATATGCCATCCATTACTTATGAAGATGAAAGGTATATCATATCACCATAGTGTGTGTATGTGTGTGCGTGCGTGCACACATACACACACACACACACATATATATATGAATGAGCAATAGGGCAAGAGATACAGATGCTACATATGTTGCATATTTGTAACATTAATATGGAGTGTATAACCATTATTAGAGCCACTTGTGGCTTTGTTTCTTTGTAATTCTGTGCTCCACCCACTCTGATGGAAATAAATGTATCAGAGATAAAGGCAGCTGCCTTTCATCATTTGTTCTCTGTATATGATGTACATTTACATGTGTATGGTTATTTGCACACACATCTAGTGATTTATCAGTTCCTATTGCATATAGCTTCTATTTTCTCATATAAACAAACATTTATAGGATGAACTACATATCTGAAGAAACTTTAGGCATGGTATATGTTATGGGATCATATTATTTTGCATACCAGGAAACTGGATAATTACATTCTATTTGTAGTTAATATGAGAATTTATCGTATGTCTGAACTACAGATTTGTGTCACTGTACTATCTTCACCATCTTTATTTTCAGACCTGATTTCATATTGTGTTGTGTATTTTCCATTATGAATCACTAGCCCTAGAACAAGAAAAAATATTAATCTTCAGACTGGCACACAAAAAATTTCTTAAGCCAGGTCAATACATTTGTGCAAACCACAGGCAAATATGCCCCAAATAGTTTCTGATGACACTTTCCATAATATGTGTCCCAAATCCAGTTCTAGACAATGGTACAAGTAGAATCAGCAAAGAGATTGCTGATGTGACCAAGCATAAGATGTGTGTCATCCCCACTTTAGTGCTTAACTGAATGGAGATTAGAAAAGTGATTAGAAAGCCACAGCTATGTGTGTGCTGTGTGGTGGGAAGACACTGGTGGGAATGGCAAAATCCAAAGGTATAGAGAAAAAGGATTTAAGAAAGTGGAACTAGAGGAGGAAGTAGGATGAATGAAGTAGGGAAAATAAGAGAGGAAGACCTGGAGTAGAATAAGTAGAAACAGAAAACTGAAGAGGTGAACTAAGTTCTTAAACTGATCCCAGTGCCAAAAGGAACAGAAAAGAAATAAAGAATGAAACAGATGGTGAGGGGTGAAATAAAGGAATGAGGATGACAGAATAAGAAATGGAGAGAGGAGAGATGGGGAGAGATCAAGGGATTAGAGAGGGAGGGAAGGGCAGGGAATGGGAGATAGTGTTTATGTTTAGGTTTGGCATCTGAGGCTGTGCCAAATCTGATTTTTTTTTTGAACTAGACAGCGAAAGTTTCCCCATTTCCCTTCTAATAGAAAGCATTTGTCTGTTTAGATTCTTTCCAACAAAAACTCCTAGTACAAATGACAAAACATAAGTATAAACATTTATTTGCCATGCTTGGATTTGCATAGCATTTTCTCTTTTCCTAAGCATGGATTTAATAACATAAAATAAAATACTCTTGTTTCAGAAAAAAAAAACTTCTCTGTAGGTCAGAGAGTATTCCTGGTCTGCACATGGGCAGAAACTAACAGGCCTATAAAAGCTTGATGTGAATCAGCACTACCCCATAAAAGGTCAACTACAGACAGAATCAAGCTACTTTTAAAAGGCATATACCATGGAGAAGAAATATGAGACAGACAGAAACAGTATAGAGGGGGATAAGTATTAATCAGTGCAAAAGACAGAAGGAACAGAACAGAAAATTCTGCCAAGCTTTAATACTTCTCTACTAATATGTTCAACAATGAAAATACATCCCACACAGACTGATTGGCTAAGGTCAGGTTGATCTTAGCTATGTAAAAGGAAGCAGCTGTCAACTGTGGCACATGGCAGATGGAGAATTCTTATCAGATTTTTTAAAACCTGAAATCACTTTTTTTTAATTTAGAAATTGATTTGCTGTATGACATGAGAAACCCTAATACTGGCACCACATGTTGCACTGCCCCATCTCCCACTCACATGTGGAAAGATATGAATGTTTTTATTTATTGCTATATTTTGAAATATTTTAATTTTCAAAGATAACTGGGGACAAATATATTTATTATAAGTATCCTGCACATCTTGTTAGGCAGCAGAATAAATGTTGTTCTATTGATAAGAAAACTAGGGGGCTCGATAGCACTTATTTACAAAGTAAGGAGGAAAATCTCTTCACTGCAGGAACTACTGGGTGAAATTCTATAGCAAGAGATCAGAATAGATGAACATAGTGGTCTTTTGTGACCTTAAAATCTATGATCTTCAGCTGGCATCAATTAATGTAGATTTACTGATGACAGTGGATCTATGCTTTGGCTTTTTACAACAGCTGAGGATCAGGCCCAGTCAGTCCATAGATCTAGCAAAAGGTTATGTTCATAAATATAGTTAAATATGTGCAACACATATAGTGAAAACATTTATTTATAGGAATCTCTGAAGAAGTATTTTAAAAATCACTTTTAACAATAGTGTAATTATTGGCATTAATGATAACAATACATTGCATTAACACATTGGTTTCCAACAGATTATCTCCAAGTGCTTTCAACATTTCTTACCTTAATTATATATTAAAGGCCCAAGTCCTGTAATACTGGGTTGGGAGTGGAAGGTGCTCTGTACTGGGCCTTCACACAGATAAAGATTGCAAGACTGGAATATAATAAATTAGTTGTCGTAATAGCTCTGTGAGGCAGGGAATTATTGTTATGCCCATTTTACAGATGGGGAAAAATCAAAGTTAAGGGCCCAGTTCTACTGCAATTGTTATTGATGGGAGCTTTGCCATGGATTAAAATGGAATAAGTTTATGTATTGACTACTGTTACACAGTTAATAAATGGCAGATTTGTCACTTTCAAAATTAAACAGTATTGCTTTTCCATCTTTGCTAAAGTATGACATTGTATAAATTCTAGAAAATAAAGGCCAGTATTGCAATTATAGGTATGCATTACAACCTGTTACAATATTATACTTTTGTACAAGCTTCAGCAATTAAGCATTAATAAAAGCAAAAGTATTGTACACACATTTTTTGCTGAGATTAATCAACATCCATAAATATGAACCTCACAAGATACTGCATTTATGTATATCTCGATCAGCAAGTACGCAAAAGCAACATCTTGACTCTATTAAAGAAAATAGAACATAAGAATGGCTATACTGGGTCAGACCAATAATTCATCTAGCCCAGTATCCCATCTTCTAATAGCGACCTCTGTCAGAATAAACTGAACAGGGCAATTATCATGTGATCCACACCCAAATTGTCTGTGTTCATCTTCTGGCGATTGGAGACATAAGGGCTGTGTATAGACTGCATCCCTTTTCCGTAAAAGGGATGCAAATTAGACACATCGCAATTGCAAATGAAGTGGGGATTTAAATCCCCCTGCTTCATTTGCATAAACATGGCTGCCGATTTTTTCCGGCTTGGAGGTTTGCCGGGAAAACAGTGCCAGTCTAGACAGGGATCTTTCGGAAAATAAAGCCTTTTCCGAAAGATCCCTTATTCCTTATTTTAAGAGGAATATGGGATCTTTCGGAAAAGGCTTTATTTAAAAGGCAAAGCTCCGAGCCGGAAAAAAGCGACAGCCATGTTTATGCAAATGAAGCAGGTGGGATTTAAATCCCCACTTCATTTGCAATTGCGATGTGTCTAATTTGCATCCCTTTTATGGAAAAGGGATGCAGTCTAGACACAGCCATTGAGACCTAGAGTAAGAGGATGCCTTGCTGACCATCTTGTCTAATACCTACTGGTGGACCTATCCTCAATGAACTTATCTAATTTTTTTTTAACCCATTTATACTTTTGGCCTTCACCACATTCCTGGCGATGAGTTCCACAGGCTGACAATACATTGTGTGAGGAATTAATTCCTTCGTTTGTTTTAAACCTGCTGACTGTGTCAAAAGCATTACTAAGGAGTACTTGAATGCGTAAGGTTGTGCTAGATCTAGGTTTGTAAGGAGATCTAATTTTGGACCTAGCTTGGAAATCCTTATTTTGATGACTAGTACATATTCAAGTGAATATGGTTCCACTGATGCTTTTGGGACTACTGATACATATAGTTTATTCACATTGAATTGGGCCATTTGTTATAAGGGTTTATGTGAATAAAGATTGTAAGATAAAGCCCTTGCTACATTAATTTTTCTATTAAATATCTATTCTACAAATATTTTTTTTCCCAAAAGTCAAAACCAAAGCACAATGCTATCATTAGCATTTCTCTCCTTCTTTTGTTGAGTGTATTTTTAAATTGTGTCTGGTTTCAGAAAGAAAATTTATAATAGCTACTTAAAATTGTACTTAAGACAAACCCAATTTGTTCTGACAATTAGCAAAAGTGGTTTTTCAGAAAAGAAAATGAGCACTGGAAATGACTCAGAGACAGTCAAAATACTGTTGAAAATGGAATTCTTAGGCTTAATATATCACAAAGATGAAGTATAATTTCATGAATTTTTTAATGTCATCTTCATTCAAGCTATGCTGAAATTAAGAAAAAAGATGGAAAAGTAGTAGGAACTGAAAAGGTGGTTAAGGACATTCTAAACAAATGATAACATCTCTCTCTAGGTGTTACAACAAAGGGTGACCATGTTTATATAATGTTATTCTGTAATTGCATTGGGAATTGATACGGAGCTGTCATATTTATAGGCAGAGTTATAAGCAGGAACCGAGTGAGTGGAGTTTATCTATAGTTACATTTTTCAGATTTTCTTTCTCCTTTTTAACAAAATGGAATCAAATAAACAACGAATCTGCCAACATCAACAAGATTTTAAGAAAACTTCCATAATAGGATGAGCATGTCTTTTCCCATATACTGT